TTACATGCAAACACTTCTACCTTAGTTCTATTACCAAGATTTACCAAATAAGTTGTCTTTAGTTTCATTTGGAAATGTCCAGTTACCTTTCTCTTATTTGATAATAAGTGGAAATACATAATAGCATGAACAGGTTGACAGTCTTCATAAGCATGAAGACTTACAATTCACACTAACTGCCACCCTGAAATTCTTCAGACAACCCTCCCTTGAGCCAAGGGGATTCTTTGCTCCTGTTGGTTTCAGTGGAAGAGTTGGCAATTCTTTTCCAACAGAACACTTAGTAGGAATGGAAAGACAAAGTCTTCTACTGTGAAAATGTAGTTTCTGTAAGACAGATGCCTTGCTCATCAGAATACATGATCTGTACAGCTATTCTCAAGAGTTTGCTGTTGTAAGTGGTCTTAATGTTCCTCCCTCAGAACAGCTCAACTTGCAACCTTAATTCTGCTCTCCTGGAGAGTTGTTTCCAATTCTTTTTGCAGGTTAAACTGGCAGCCTCAGGCATGAGGGCTGCTGGAACCGCCTTGGAGCTCTCACACCAGGACCAAAATTTGGTTACAAGGTGGGGATTTGAGGAGACACTGTGATTCTGCTCTCTGACATAGAATATACGAGTTTCATGCTCGTTTGACGTATTTTTTCAGACTTTACTGAAGAGCAATGTAAATGTTTTCTGTAGGTTTCGCACATTAAAATTCATGAAAGTCTGCTCCCTCTGAGCAATAAAACCTTTTTCCACAAATAAAAAAAAAAAAAGGAAGTGGCCAGACTCAGCACCCTGGAATTGCCATTTCCCATTTAAGCACTCATGAAATTTATGAAAAATCACTAATAATTGTGCAGTATTGATAAACTGGGATCGCTAAAGCCAACTGCAATAGGATTTGTGGGTGTTGGATACCTTTAAAAATCAGCATGGTCCTTTAAATATGTACAACCATGTTTGAACACTTGTGGCAACAAAATAAGGTCTAAGTTTATACACTTGCATGCTCTTACCTACTCAAATATAGTCCTTGAGTAATCCCAGTAGATACCATTTAACTTAAAAATAGTGTTCGGCCCTATAATTTCTCTGCTGGTAGTTGAGCATCCAGTGCCAAGCTTTACCCTACACGTTCCTTGAATTTATTTTCTTAATTAAAGTTTGTGAGTCACTAAACAGTTGTTGTTTAGGATAGCTGTAAATAACATTTGTATATGTAACGGCATAGAATAAATGATCGCTAAATGAGTTAGTGATAGAATTGGGTGCATAATATCTGCCGGGGGTGTTGCTGGTATGCAGGCTTGTACCTGCTGTAGGCGTACAACTGAGTCTTGAAATCACTTTGATCTTTTCATGTCACCTGAAAAAGTAATCGGCCACATCCAAAAGCCGTATTACATTTTTGCTAAGTGTACTTTAAATTATTACTGATTTAAAGAGTTTAGCCCATTATCAATCATACTGCAACCTTTCTGTTTCTCGGTCATTTAAGACCTTGTTGCTTTAGTTCAGAGCTTGTGAGCCATCATTGTCATTTTGCTTTGTGACTTACCCAAGTTCAGTGGAACAGCTGTAATTTGCACATTTTACAAGGGGAGCCTATAGAACCGAAACCTTTTCTTTAATATGAAAGTTGGTGGAGTGCGCTTCATAGGAGTACACACTGAAATCAAACCTTCAATGAGATCATTTTTCAACATTCAGATTCAGGATGTGAATCAAACCTGAATTTTCCTAAGGTTTCAGCTGATTGAGTTTGCTGTAAATAGTGATTTCACATTGTAAGTTGGGCATATTTGTGAGTGTTCTAATATTAAAGCAAATTTACACAAACTAACAGGAAAGGTATAATTAAAATGAATTTGATACAAAATTCATCACTTTTTGATACAACCCTGTCAACTGGGGTTTCACGAATGTGATTGTAAGAAAATTTTATGCCTTTTCCGATGATCTGTATTATTTTTATGGTAATGATTATTCCAGTTCATATTGTAACAACTTGATGACATGTGTTTCCTAGTTCTCAATCTGTACCATATGATGATTCTTCTTTAGATAAGAATTGTCAAATATTTCCTTTGTGTAGCACTATGCCATGTTATTAAATAAGGGGAGGAGAAATTTCTTGACCTGTAAAAGAAATTGTTGTCTACAAGTCTAACAGTTTTAGCTGAACTGTTCAACTGCCTTGCCAAAAATGTGTTATCATCAATGGTTTCTCCTCTTAATTCTGCTTTTATTCATATCAGGTATATATTGCTATACATAGGTTTCAATTTGCACCTAGAAAAAAACAGAAATTCAATAGCACCTTGTTTTAAAAGAACATACAGCTTATTTGTTTGAATTAGGCTCAAGAGAAACAGCATGCCAATAATGTTAGTGCACCTTTGCACTTGGAGGCCATTTGAAAGAAGGTGAAGCCACTTTATGAAATTATAGATTATTTAAGGAAATGTAAACAGCATGGTTGAAGATACAACATCAAGCACAGAGAAGGAATAATCGTCATTACTTAGCAGAATGAAAACACCACCAGTCCATAAAAGTTCCAATGTTTCTTGCAGTCTTTTACTAGTATTAACATCACTATGTTCCCTTATTATCATCCTAAATGTCTCTGTCATTGCCCACAGGCTGCAAAGTTCTTCTGTAGCTGTTTTATGCTCATATTATGCGGAGGTGCAATCTTAATGGTCCTTTTTAAGACCCTTTCCTTAGATACCATTTTCAGAATGTATTTGTTTACTACTTCATGTATTTCTGTATTTTCTTAAAACGGACTGTAAAAATCAGAAATTGTCCCCTTCCCAAGATTTCTGGTGATCTGTTCTTGTGTGCTTTGTTTGGCTGTACAAATCTGCTGCCTCCTAACGTAATGCTGGAAAATAATTATCGGATTACCTTTAACTTTGGTTGATGCATTTCTGTCAGGCAGAAGCAATAATGACCTTCATAGTTTTGTTTTCTAAACTTACTTCTTCTGTTTTTATTTCTGCTCTCAGAGGCAGCACATTGCCAGAAGGGTTAAATACTTTACATTGCAGTGTTACGTATGAGTAAGGGTGTTTCATTGTTTATTTTAGGCTCAGCCATGGATTTCATCCAGGCTTTCTGCACTTAATACAAATTTTTTCTGCAACAAAAGCAATTCTAGAGGGTCAGTTCAGGCTGCATATTAAAATTAGTGCTAGTGATGGGATGAATGTTCTATAAAATTCTGCTTGCAAATCTGCCTGTTTTTCTTCAAGGCAAGCATGAAATATGAACATTACATTCTCAGGTCATCATCACAGGAAAACATATTTTCCTAAATCCTCTTGCTCCTTTGGATCACACAGCAGTAAAGACTACACTGTATCTTTCTTTGATTTTCTTATTCAAAAAGGGTGGAGCATTTCTGCGTGCTTTGCCATTCAAACATTCCTGGTGGTTCTATTTTCAACTCAAAATTTTTAAATTAGTAACAGATGTGTGATTCTTTTGACAGAAACAGAGGGCAAATTTTTCTACTGTATTTTTAATCAAGTTTTTTAAGCTTTTACTGACTATTGAACCCTGAGTGCTAGTTTTTGTTACCAGCCTTCACTGTAAACAGTATCTTACACCACAGAAATCTCACTGAAGTTAGTGGAGAGTAATCCTGATATTATAAGTCTGATGAGGGGTAGCAGAACATATTTGTAGTGACTATAAAATGCAGCTTATGGAGCTAGATCCCAATAAGGTGTCGCATCCCAGTATTGCTTATCCCAACTTGTTTAGGTATGTTTTGTTGATGTATCATCCCCACTCACTCCAAAATTGCAAAGCAGGTAGTCCGGAAAATAGCTGGCATACATAGGTTACTGGAAATGCTGGTCCATTGGCATGAAACATATAGAAAATTCTTGTGCAGCAGAACTCCCAGGAGACTTCATGGTTCTTGTGCATAATGGATTTGGGGGTCTCGATAGTTCTGAAGCAGGAAGGCAGGCTTGTGAGTAGGACAGAAGAAAGATTCTAGAGGAAAAAGGAGCAAAGGAGAATCAAATTCCAATGTAAGGAAGAGCATTTAGAGGTTGAAGTTGCAACCATGAAGTTGAATTAGAGGTGGAGCTATTTTGCTTTTTTCACACAATTTGAGTGTGAGATTCCTCCCCCCTTTCTGCTCCTAAACTGTCTCCTTTACTGTAATTTATTTAAATGCAAGTCTCATCCTTTTTTCTTGCTTATTTATTGACATGTATGTAGCATGATAACACAGATACTGGTGTAAGCTTTCATTCTCCTTAAGCCTTTGAAATTTTTTGTTAATGATAATACTGATGCATGATTTCTTACTTGGATCTGTGGATCATCTAGCAATGAGAAATGATACATAATACAGACTGTAATACTTTTCCAAAGTAATTTTTAAAAAGATTTGAAGGCCAAATAGCTCTTGACCTTCTGGCGCACAAAAGGAAACAAACACCATGTTGAAAATGTAACGGGCAGGAACCAAGTGTTTTTGTAGGTCAATGCCTGCTTTACTTAAAAGGGAATAAAAAACATTCCCTAAGAGCGATGAAACTTACACATAAATATAAGAAGCTTGCATTTTTTTCTTCCAAGAGAACTGAAAACATTCAAGGTATATTTAGAGACCAATAAGAAACAAGGATGAAAGAAATACAGAAGCAAATTGCAGTTTGCTGTTGTGAAAATACCTCCGGCTCACACTTAAGAATATTTCCCATGTTTTAAATCTTCAAAGTCTGGTTTTACTCATGAACATTTTATGTTGTCTTGAGAAATTAAACAGCCCAAACATTCAGACTTTAGAGAAGTGAAACAAAATTAATTTATCAGATAAATCTTCTGTCAGAAATGCTTTCCCATTGGTGGAACACTGAACTTAGTCTTCAGAGTGCTGACGACCCCTGGGCTGACTTGCTATATTTGTCTAAACAGGGGTTAAATGAATGCAAAATGTCTGTCTTTTGATGACTCTGAAGTAGTTCCCTTTTTTTTTCTTGGGCAGGAGGAAAGATGTCACTTGGATGTTGGGAAGCTTTTGAAGTTTTCAAGAGGGACCATGCTGATGGTATAACCATTGAAGACAGCAAACAGCTTCTAAAACAGAGGTGAGTGTCACAGCAAGATGCAGCTGGAGGCAGACATCTGAGAGTTTGTTATGAGTCAGAGTAGGAATGCATAATTTTACACCAGACATCCTAGGCTTCTATTCAGAACTGGGTATAGAAACTTTGCCGTTTCTTACTGGGGATATTTCATGTTCAGAAGGCACCGAGTGGTGACAGAGTAAAAGTCTGGATGGAATATGAAAATGGCATGAGGATCTTAGTGTATCTTTCCTCTGCTTTTGTTCATCTTATCTTCATAGCCATGTTGAAGCAATGTGGCAAATGGCAGTCATGATCATGAATTATCTAGAGGAAGCAAGATCCATGTGACTGAGTCAATTACTGCAATTTCCATCATCAAAAATGTTTTACTGGCTTCAGCAACGAGTTGGACAGTAAGCTAGGAGATGTTTAACACATGCTTTTGTCTGTTGTTCCTAACTTTTTTGCCAAGTGATTTTAGCTTCTCTGTGCCAGTTTTGCACTCAAAAACAGAAATAATGCTTTTATCTTCCACATTTATTGTTAATGCTAGCAAAACACTTCCAAATCTTCTGGTGAAGATGGTGAGAATGACAAAACATTGAAAACATGAATTTTCATAAAGCAGATTTTAAACATCTCAGAAATTAAACAACCAACACTTGTCCATGTTAATTGGATAACAGTATTGTTTCAGTGTCAGTTTTTCAAGTGTTAACCCTTCTTGTACTGCAAAAAGAAATGCAGGGTTGTGAGACTGGAGATGCCAAAAGCAGATCTCTGAATCTACCATTGTAACTAGCATTTCCTCTACCAGGCTGGGGGGGGTGTTCTTTTTCCTTTCTTTTTTTTCCTGTCCTGGGGTTTGCTCCTTCTCCAGGTTTCTCCTGCTTTCTTCTGCTTTCTTAATAACACAATTTCCCCACTTAATAGACATGAAAGACGTTGTTTTCAGGGTCACTGAGTCTTATACTCATTTACTTCAGTGAAATTAAGGTAAGAAATGATCTCCACTTCTCTGTGACTTATTCAAGATTTTGCTATTTATCACTTTTCTGAACTGGTTAACTTGCTACCTGGGTCTATAACTTGGCCACAGGGAGACAAAGTGCTGAGATATCAGATGTAAGAACTTACCCATGTAAATCGGATGTTTAGTGATGCCTTTCTTCTGATCAACATATCAGATGATGCTATATCACTGCGTCATCACTGCATAAATGATTACACTGCAATCATTTCTGGTGTTGCTGTCTATTGAGCAGAACACTTTATGGTCACAGCATGATAATGGGAGCAATACAGTTCTGAGCCATGCCCTGAATTTCCTCTAGTTAATCACAATTCTTTCATATTTTCTCTGTTTGTTATTGCTATGAAGCAAACCAGTATTTCCTTCTGGTTTCAGAACATGTAATAAAGATGGGCGGAACCCACAAAGTTTTACACCAGATTTGCTTTCCCTAAAGAACAAAGAGATTCAGACTAATGCCTTGGGTAATCCCTCTCTAATATGCATCAGCTGACTGCTGAAATCACTGCAAATGTGAATGTTGATACCCTGGAGCAAGACAGTTTTCCCCTGCCATTTGCAGTCATTTTTAGCAAAGATGCCTATAGCTCCAAGTTTACTGAGTTCATTAAAATGGATTTATATCAAGTCCAGTCTGTAATTTGGAATGCAGCCTCTGAACTACCAGTTACACAAAAGCTCTGCTACCCAGCCAGTGTTCAAATTGCACAGGAAGAAGTGTGTGGACACCACATGTTTAAAGGTTACCATAACTTCCCTTTTTGTGTAGGCCTCTCATGTTAATAATTTTGTTTATAGTTGCATAACCACTTCTGTAATACCACAAACAGTATTTGTTTCACAAATTACTTATTTTTAGCTGTCTTATTTTTTCCTTTGGGTATTTTGGGTAGATTTTCTTGACTTGCTAATTATATCATTCTTACATTAATTGAATGGTGAACTGTCAGTGAGCCCAGTTGGAAGTTTGACTGTGAAGGTTGCAACTAGTACTTGGTCTGTGAAATTATTCCTACAGAAGTGAATACGCATAGTCATACATATACAATATACATATGTTTTTTTCTGTAACTACCTGTGTATAACCAATCAAATGTATTCAGTTGATTAAATCAAATACTGAAAAGCATTTGTCTTGTTAAAAAAAAAATATATAAAAGAAATACCGTTTTTAACATAAAACTTTTCATCAAGTATTTCAGAGCTCTTTACAGGGGCAGTAGCTCAGCACTGTGACTTAGTACCATCCCTGGATTTAAAAAGTGGTGCAAATTGTATGTTGAGGATTATTTGTCTCTGAAGCTCATGTACTGACTTACTGTTCAAGTGAAAGACAATAGATTCAAGCTGTCCTATTAGGACAGTTGCCTGTGGGGAAGTGGCTTTGTAAAATAGAAATGATGATCTTCTACAGCTTAGTTTGCAGTTGATACAAAACAATTCTTTTTCATTTTTCTTCTGTACATCAGTAACTGCTGCCCTGCTTTAAAAAATCTGTGTTTATGCCCAGGCAGAATCAGATTTCTGCAATTTTAACTTCCTGTACTTCACTGCCAGAGAACTTAATAATATCCTGTTTCTCAGTGCAACTATGTTCTCTTAGTATTTTTTCTCTGAGGAGGAGAAAAATGCAGCTCATTTTCTGGTGAAATATACCACCAAGAAATCTTCCCAGTTGAGCCACTCCAATGTAATATTGCATGCTGTACGAAGCTTTTAAATCCCATCCTAGTCAATATTTCCAGTAGTAAAATTCTACGGAGCTTACAGATGTGATGTAAATCTAGTTTTCATTTTCTTTTTCTCCATTGATTTTTTCTACTTTCTTCTTTGCTTGCTTTCTGTATTTCAGCTGGTTAGCAGCTAACTTGTTTTTTCAGTACCTATGGATGAGTTTTGTGGAAAGAATGAGTTTCACTTAGATCACTTCTTGTTGTAATTTCTAATAATTAAAAATAAGTGAATGTTCATTTAATTCACTAAGTGTCTCCGTTCTCTCATTAGACAACCTCTGAGTTTGTCTTGGTTTACATTATGAGTTAGAGGTTTGTTTTTTCAAAATGTTTATTTTTTTATTACTGGCATTTGTCTTCAAAGAGTGAAATCTTTGCAAAAAACATTTGTTCCACTAAAATTAGTGGCTAAACTCACTTTGGGGTTTCATCATGGAATATTTATTTTGTGGGTAATAGAAGCCATGATTTGGCAACTTCAGCCTTTCTATGGAGTGGTCTCCATGTAGGATACACATGAACTCTTCTCAGCCAACTGTATAATTGTTAACTCATCATTATTCGTAGCAATATCACCTTTATGCTAGATAATATCACCTTTTTTTTAGAGAAGTATCAGAAATAGCCTTTTCTCTTTCAATATTTGAGACGAATCTTATATCTTTATTTGGTTTATTTTGTTTGAAAACGATTCATAGTCACATATGGAATTTGCTGGACTGTCATAAATTAATGTCAAATTTCAGTTCATGTTATTGTGCCAGTCTGTAGACTGTGGTGTTTGAGAAACAGATGCATGGCCCATTCAGCGATTGCCAGTAACCGATGAATAAGGGCTAGATTGAGAGCTGGCTTCAACTTGTCCAGATAAAGCTCTGTGTGGACATGAATGAGGGTCAATAGTCAACAGGAGATTTGCCTCAGGAATTACTAAGTAACTGATTAACTTCGTATTCGGCTATTGGGAGCTGAGGGAAAGAAAGAGAGAGGTGCTTTGAGGTGTTTCCCTTGGCTCTTCACTCAATCTTCAAGGCCTGCTTGGGTGCTCTAAGTCAAGATTCGTGGAAAGAGCTTATACAAACATCTCACAGATGCTTCAAAGGCTTCTGCCTTCTTTGTGTAAGAAACAGTAAGTGCCGAGGAACGCTCTAGCTTCAGACATTTAGACATGTTGAATTTAGCCTTGACAGAAAATGTTCATGGGCAGATACGAATGCAGGCACCTCTAGTTCTAACTTGTTCCAGTTTTACAGGGCAATGGGCTAATTGAGAAGGGACAATTTTCCAAACCTCACTTCCCCAGGGGAACGTCGTATTTCTTGACTCTGGTTTGCCATTATTTGAGTTAGACAGAAATAAAATTTGTGGATTTCCTCAGTTACTTTGGCTAGATCAAGACTCTTTCAGATCAGCTGAAGGCTTACTTGACAGTTAAGTATTATAGTTCTGCCTCCACATTCGGCAAGGTTCAGCTTGTACACATCCAAGTAACAATTCATAATTTCATATCAAGCCTAATGTCCTACAACAAATGTCACAATGCAACAAATCATCCTCCTACATTTTAAACTATTACTAGTTATGCTATTACAATGGATATTTCCTCAGTTCTCTCAGAAACTCTTTAGACTTTGCTATTGTACATTGAATTGACTATTATTTTTACAGCAGAGTATACTTGGCATTTGAAAGCCTAATATGTATGCCGTTTGTCCTAAACAGTTGTATATAGTACTGAGTTAAATAAGTGTAAGAGAATAATAATGAGAGCAACTGCTGTAAAAGATCAGAAAACTGACAGAAAAAAGCACAAAAGGAGAAGGCACCAAGTTCTATCAGACTGTAGGGAATGAAGAGAGCAGAAGTGGATTTGTAAGGCTCTGTAGGCAACCGTTTTTTAAGGATATACTTGCATATGACACATTTCCTAAGAAGCAAGACATACAGTGAGCAGGATGCTTAATAACACTGAAGTGAGCATCACTGCAACACCATGTTGCAAACTAAAAAAGAAACTTCTAATCATTAGAATGTTTTACATACCACATGAAGATTTGATTATTTGAACATAATGAGGAGGTGGTCAGTGAATTAATTTGGAAACACACCTGGTCAAAATTTCACATTCTAAAAAAACTCATTTCCACTTTTTGGTATGAGGTCAAGCTATTTGTGTACTACAAAATGGAAGTTTCCAAAGCCTGATTCATTGACTTGTTTCCACGCTTCTCAGCCTGCTTCTGGCTTGCTATTTGCAAATCTTCATGTGGCTGCCTTTGGCTTGTATTGGTATTTGGGCAGTAGCTGAATATCATCTGAAAGTCTGCATTCACATAAGGACTATCTGTAGAAGAACAGAGTAATTTAGTTTTGTCACACTTTCTTGTATTTCTGTTTGAGAAGTATCTTAGTGACTGGGATGTACATTTTCACACAGCACAAACAGTAATCATCATTGCTTGGATTTTTTTTCTTTTACTTTTACATAGCTGTATGCTAAAAAATTGCGAGTAATGTAGCATATTAAAATTAATATTGTAGTGTAATATGAATATTGAAGATAATCCAACCATTAGAATTGAAATAACATAGTTTTTAAAACTTAAAGTCAAATAAATTTGTTTTGTCTGTCTAGTAAACCTTTTTGTTGTATCGTTTCTTTCAGAAATTGTTTCTTTTAGACCAGACAATCTTTTATGATGGAAAATTATTTCTGAGTAGTTCTACTTACAAGTCAAAAAGTAGTCCTGAGTAATTCTGTATTTTATTTTGAATAACTAGTTCAACTAGTTGTTTTTTAGAATAATTCTGTATCATTATGCTTACATTGACAGGTTTGCCGAAGCTAAATGCCTTGGAGACAAATTAAATGAAGTGAGAAATAAAATAAGTGAGTACATTTTAGCTTCATTTTACCTTTTAGCTGCTGAAATCACAGCATTCAGAGGATATGGGAAGAGATTCTAGTTCCTGAAAGAAAAAAGTTTATGCATTACTAAGATTTCCAATACAGTAAATTTTAAGCTGATGATAGCAGTAATAATTTTATGTACTAGTTTTTATTATTTCAAATACCATAACGTGACAAACAGCTCCCTTCTTTACTTGACTGGATGTCTGAAATTTATCAAAAGGAGAAGTTAAAGTATTAACATTGGATTTTCTGAGGTTTATTTTGGGATAAAAGGATCCAAAACCATAATTTCAAATTGTGCTGTCTAAGAATTAAGGATTTTATTTCTCTATAAAGGTATATAGCCTCTGATAAAAGAAGATTTTACTGTTCAGTTACCCCCCTGCACTTCCTTTGTACAGATTAATTAGAGCAATTCTGAGGCGTGCCTCATCCTGGTGGAGGTTTTCGTCATTTTTTGCTTTAGGACCCCAACAGCATACCTTTGGCTTCCAGTTTCAGATTGTTCAAAGCCAAAAATCACGTGTAGATACATTCAACCCCAAGCTAGGTCTTATCTGAACCTCCTAGCAGTCTTTGACATGTTCCTAGTTGATTTCAGAGTTTTGTTGATTCCAAGCCTGTAGCTTATTTCCTAAAAATTGTCTATCCAGTCTCTTTGCCAGATGTAAAACACAGTTTTGTCCTCTATCCCTAAAGTCCTTGGAGATCAGGTCCATGTCCTCCTGTATGCACACATTCGGGTGAACCAAGTGTCTTCAAGCTTCCAGATACAGACTGTGAAGGACTAGATTTGAAAGTAATCTGGCATCCAGGTCCAGTGGTGTAGATCTTGTTCTCAGTTTCTGTCTCCTTCCTCTTTGGGTGGCACTAGCACAGACATGGACAGTGAAGTCATTGGCATCACTTCTTGTCTTGTAACAGCAGTTGACTTCTGGGAAAGGACAGAAATCTCATGGCACTCCTGGCAAGTGCTCTGTGGTTTGACCATAGCCATGATTATATTCTCTGTGGTCGTGGGTGGTAGCTACTGCCAGATTCCCCACCCAATCACCTTCGGGTACACCACAAGTCCCTCACAGATATTATGCAGTATATTTAAAGTTGTGTCAGCTACAAGAAAAGCCTTAGCCATGCTGGCACTGTGTTTTGCAACCACAGCACAGAGGATGTTTGGAAGGGAACCAGAACAAGACACATCAGGTGCTGAGCCCTGCTGCAGCAGTGTTCCGAACACTGGGTAGTTTCAATACAGCATGACGCTTGAATCAGCCTGCTTTCTCTCAGTAGGCTCGTTTGTCTCCTTCAGACTGGCCAGAACATAGAAGTCAGTACAGAACTTGTGCGTGAATATCCACAAATTGGTCCATGCAAGCAGAATTTCAATATCCACCTTGCAACTACGCATCTCTCCAGTGTCCATATAAGCTCACTTAAACCTGCCCAGCAGTCTTTTTCCCATGGTAAAGTTGGAAAACCAGGTTAAACATACTGTGAAGGACAATGCATGTTATTCTCCAAGTAACTGGAAGCATGTCCAAGGTGAATAAAGCCTGCAGCTTTTGGGCAGCGGTGTGCACAGGTGTGAAGGAGAGCCATCACATCAGGACGTAACCTCTTTTTCTCTGATGCCATCCTGAAGTCTACAAGTCCTAATTTACTTCTGTCCTCTAGATTTACTCATCCCTGATAAGCCCAAGAGATTTCTTGGCCTAAATGAGGTAGAGCCAAAGTCAGCACTTGGTGCCAAACTTCTTGCTGAGGTTGAAATCCATTTTGGAGCAGGCATAGTGAATACCAGCAACAAGAAGCCACAGACAAGCACATCTTTCTCAGTGCCTGGGGCTGTGATTGTGCTGTTTTAAGATATGAGCCTAGCAGCCACCTTACATACACCTTATATCTGTTGCAAATGTCTTAGGGGCAGAGTAAGTGTTTGGAGGGTGTGGGAGACAGTGCAAGAAGTGGTGGGACACATGCCAGTACTGAAGGTATCAGTTGTAGTGTCATGTTGGGACAAGATTTGTGTGGTCCGTAAGTCCCTTTAGATTTGCAGGAGTCAGCTGTGGCTGCTCTCGGAAATAGTGTAACAATGCAATGTAGCTGTAGCCTTTCAAGACACTTTTACCATGGTTCCAAGCAAAATCTAAAAGAAATCCTTGGTTTGGACCGAATCGCTGTGGGTTTTTCCTCAGTAAGTTAGGCAAAACTTCTGATAGCTGCAGTGCAGTAGAGTATAGATTTTGCTGCAATTAAAAGCATCTGCTTTAAAATTTGTTTTTGGTTAAGTACTTCAGTGTTAGAAGTGAAACAATGATGTATATTTGGGGAATATGAACAATACAAAAATCTGAGTGCTTATTCATATGTATATATAACCTAAAGCCCAGACTTACCCCTTGAACAAAACAAGCAATGGTATGACAAATCAGTCGTGTTGTGCTGAACTTGACAATAGTTACATGCCTCCTATAGGAAATCGTAATAACTTGTAGTCAACATGAATATTGAAAAGCTCCTTTAAGAACCAAACTGGAAATGTCTGCATAGTTCCAAGAAAAATTGCACAAAATTACACATTTTGGTTTTGTTTTGGTATATTAAGTGCAATTACAAGTAAAACGTTTTTAAATTGAAAATTCATTTCATTACTCTCTATTTTTTTTTATTTTGGTAGTAAAATGGAAAAATAGTATTTTCATTTAGTTCATACTGTAATCCTACTGTATAAGCAAGAGATATCATCCATGATATATCCTTTTATAGCTATCTATATGCTGATCTATGTAGATTATGCACATGAATGCTACTTTGTGGATGGTTTTTAAACACTGATGCCTGAGACTTGAGAGTGATTATATTGTACAGTTCTTCCTTCAGTTCTTTCTGTGTAACTTTATGCAGCATGTGCAAATTAGCACTCTGGTAAATATAGATACTATATTTTATTCATCTGTTCTTTTCTCCTACCCAGCCTTGTTTTGATCATTGTTGCTAATAAATATACATATTAGCAGCTCTCTAACAATTATTAAATCTTTGCATCCAGTATGACACTTTCTGGCTTATTCAGCTTAGCCAATGCAATTAGGCTAGTTTATAGAGTTTAGCAGCCTGAAGCAATTTTTCAGTTAAGTCTGTCTCATCATAGCATACATACTCAGAAGACCTTTAAAGATGCTAAGTAAGGTTTCTAACCTGCCAAAATTTTACTGAAAATGTGGTAGGAGAAATAAGAGTCATCTGCAGCCTGCAACTAGATCTTTAATTTACTTTTATTGTTGTTTCGGTTTCTTTAAGCATTCTTGGCTGTCTTGTTGTACACAATCAAGAACAGATCCCATCAATATCAGTTTCTGTTATTTCTAAGCTACACTTAATAGTATAAAACTATGCACCACAGAGGCCATAGAGCCCGTTTCATGCAGTCTGATTATATTTTGAGATAATGACAGCAGTTGGCTGTAACTTTTATGTTATAAATACCCTTTCATTCTGACTTTGGAAATATTAGTGTTTTACAGTAAAAAGTACACAAAATACTCCAACCACTTCTCTGTTACACTAGCAAAAACATCAGGAAGTTAGGGCTGGAAAAAGAAATTTGCAGTAAGATTTTCATAGTAGGCTTTTGCTGGTGTTATTGCTTGCATAAAAAGATTAAGGAAAACAATGTCTAGATGTAAGCTGGAGTTTAAGTGTAGAGTGACTATAGTGTCAGAAATGAGACGCTGTGGCTAGCATGCCTCTTTGCTACTATACCACATATTCCTGGATTCTGTCTCCTTTTGTGTTTAATAGCACTGCAGAGAATGCAGAGATTTTAAAGTTATTTTTATGGAAAATAATACATATGTCTTAGATTTTTCATAATGCTTACTTTTCACAATGAGTCCCTAGAAATAAGAAGATGAATTTTATTGTAGGATGAAAATTGTCTTTTTCTGATACTTTAAAAAAAAAAAGGAAGTGGGAAATGTTTCTAAGCCTGGTCGTTTTAGTGATCCTGTTTACTACATTATCACACAAACCTCTGCACAGGCACATAGAAAGGAGCAGAGGGCTTTGCTGCAAGCATTGAGGGGCACTTCTTTCTGAAAGTCAACGTACTGCATAAATACACCATCAAAAGACAGAGAAATGAAGTATGGATTTTAAACATGTAGACATGTCTGGATTGGTCTGCGTGAACTATTCAGAACTGTTTACTTATAACTGGAAAATATACCCAAGGACTAGACTTTAGAAGACAAATACAGAAAACCAAAATGAGTAAAACAAAAGAAATAACTGAGAGGTAATGGAACTAATGACTACTCTGCAATCAGCATAGGAGAAGTGGAAGTGAGCCAGCACTCTCATACAAGTAAATTTTTTCCTTTGTAGTCCAACGTTAAGAACTTAAAAGATGTGTATTTCACTGGCTAAAAAAAAAAGAGGAGGTTTATTTTCTTGTGAAAAAACATGGTGTGCCACTGCAGGTGTTTTTGTATTGTATCATTTCCAAAGAGTCAGGGTCTCTAACAGGAACTGTAGATCCTTTTGGTATTACTGAAAAAGACTTAGTGAAGAAAATTTGATGCTGAAGCCAAGGATTTGATTTCAGAATAGTGAAGCTATAGAATTTCCTCTTGCAAAAAGTTGAGTGATTATGCCTAGCACATTGACATGGGTCAGCCTTGGCTGGCTGCTAGCACCTCTCCAGCCACTCTCTCACTCCCCTTCCTCAGCATAACAGGTGGAGAAAGTAAGAAGAAAAAGCTCATGGGTTGAGATAAACGTAGGCAGATCACTTACCAGTTACCATCACAGGCAAAGCAGACCCATGTTGGAGAAAATTAAAACTTACTGCCAAATATTTATTTATTTATTTTTAAAGCTGGACAGTGAGAAAAAAAGACAAAACCTCTGAAGTCAAAACTTCTCTCCTTAACAGGGTTAACAGGAGTTTTATTTCTAGAATGCCGTTATCAACA